CATGTGGGAGACCTGCAGGAAGCTGCTGGCTCCTGGCTTTGGCCTCATCTGGAACTGGCTGATGTGGCCTCATGGAGAGTGAACCAGCAGGTGGAAGATTTTGATCTCTCTGTGTCTCTCCTGCACTCTGCGCATCTCCAACTTTCAAACATAAATTAATTGATTAATTAATTATTTAAAAATTATGACTTATTTATTTGTCCCAGCTGTAGGCAACTGCCCAGGTTGCTATGTATCTAGGTAAGTGTTATCCGCAGGCTGGTGAGCTGCAGATTTCCCAGGGAAGGGGGTCTGGGGACATTATTAAAGTGGGAGCAGCCGAGGGCATGTTTGACAGGGGAGGAATGCCTTCTAGGGTTTTCCACAGACCAGGCCATTGTACTCACAGATAGGCGATGGAGCTGAGATGGAGTGGCATAGAGGGGGGAACCGGGAAGGCATGTCTCGGTCAGGCCAAGGCACACCCACATGGGAGGTCTGAGCTGGGACAAATTGTATTACCTGCCACACCCCAGTCTCGTAAAAGATGGAGCTGAAAGACATGCCTGGCTGGGATAGGCTGTAGTGCGCACCCATGAGTGTCAGAGCAGGGTGGGCCATGCTTGTCTGCAGCACCCACAGAACACAAGAGAACCAGATCTTGGGCAGATTCTATAAAGGACTTACGAATTTGCCTCTATGGGACTGAAGCACCCACCAGTTTGAGCAGAGCTGTGGGGTGGTAATGGACTGAGCTAGGTTGGACCACCAAACTCACCAGACACTTGGGAGAGGCAGGGGTGGGAGGAGGCCAGGCAGGGGTGGGAGGGGGCCAGGCTGGGGTGGGAGGGGGCCAGGCTGGGCCAGGTTGCAACACCCGCCATCAGATTCAAAAGCCAGAACTGAAGGGAGAACATGCCAAGCAGGGTCATGACACCTGCCAGGCTGGGAGTGGGCTGGTAGGGGAACTTGCGGAACTCCTCTGCTAGGCTGCAGCTCTCATTGAGGCGCATAAGAGCTGGGCAAGGCGGGGAGGATCAAGCTAGGGTGCTACTGGGATGTAGCACCTGTCAGCATGTGTGTGAGTTGGGACTGAGGGTGGGCTGGGCCAGTCCACAGTACACACTGGCATGAGCAAGAGCCAGGACAGGGTGCAGGCCGGGCCAGGTTGGACCACAACACCTTCCAGTTCTCATGAGGGCTAGGGGTGGACTGAGTAGGGCTAGGCTGCTTCACCTGCCAGCAAGAGCTAGGACTGGGGGCAGGGGGACTAAACCAGGCTGCAGCACCTGCTGGCACATGCACGACTCAGAACTGGGAGCAGACTGGGTAGGAGATCTTTGGGGACTGCCTTGCTAAGCTGCTGCTTCCACTGGTGATCATGAGTCAGGGCTGGGGAGGGAATAGGCTGATCAACGCACCAGCACCCATTGGCATTTGTGGGCAGGTTGGGCTGGGCTGAACTGCAGCACCCATGGGTGTGTTTCAGAGCCAGATGGAATGTGGGAAGGGCTGGCGGGGGAACGCACACAGGCTGGCACTCGCAAAATCTAGGGCTGGGAGCAGGCCTGGTGGGGGTTATCGGTGATCATCCCAATCAGACCATAGCACTAGCTGGTGCACATGAAGACCAGGGCTGTAGCGGGCTGGGCTGGGACATAACACATTCTTCCCCACATTGGGTCTCTAAAGCGTCATCAAAGGATCGTCGCCTATTTTCCCGTGTCAATGCAGTTTGACGGCAAGGAGTGGTCCCCTCCCCTTTCCCCTCGGTGGACACAGGAGAGAAAACAAAAATGAAGCATTTGTCCTTCTCACCTCCCTCCACATCTCAACCTTCTGCACCCTAACTGGAGACCTACATGGGCATGCATCCCTCTCAACTATGTCAACGCTACTAAAAAAATTTCTAAAATAAAATTATTTGAAAGGCAGAGTTAGAGATTCTAGCACCTGTTGGTTGACTTCCCAAATGGCTGCACAGACAGGGCTGGGCCAGGCCAAAGCCAGGAGCTTCATCTGGGTCTCTCACGTGGGAGCAGGGACCCAAGGACTTGGCACATATTCTGCTGCTTTCCTAGCTAGGCAAGAACTGGACTAGAAGTGGAACAACGAGGACTCAAACTGGCACCCACACTGGATGCCAGGGCTGCAGCTGGAGGTTTAATCCTTTTTGCCACAACACTGGTCCCCTTTGGTCTTTTTTTTATATAAAGATACATTTTTTTAAAGATTTATTTATTTATTGGAAAGTCAGATATACAGAGAGGAGGAGAGACAGAGAGGAAGATCCTCCGTCCGATGATTCACTCCCCGAGTGAGTGCAGCAGCCGATGCTATGCCGATCCGAAGCCAGGAGCCAGGAACCTCTTCCAGGTCTCCCACATGGGTGCAGGGTCCCAAAGCTTTGGTCCGTCCTCAACTGCCTTCCCAGGCCACAGGCAGGGAGCTGGATGGGAAGTGGAGCTGCTGGGACCAGAACCGGTGCCCGCCCATATGGGATCCCAGCGCATTCAAGGTGAGGACTTTAGCTGCTAGGGCACGCCGCAGGGCCCAAGATACATTTATTTTACTTGAAAGAATTAGAGAGAAATCTTGCATTGGTTAGTTTACTCACCAAATGGTCCCAATGGTCAGAGTTGGGCCAGTCCAAAGCCAGAAGCCTACAATTTCTGCTGGGTCTCCCACATGAGTCCAGGGTCCCAAGAACTTGGGCCATCCTCCACCGCTTTCCCGGGCCATAAGCATGGAGCCGGGTAAGTGGAGCAGCTGGGACATGAACCAGCACCCGTGTGGGACGCCAGTGCCACAGAGGGTTAGCTTGCTGTACCACCCCGCTGGCCCCTCCTTTCTTCTTTTTAATGTTTCCTTATTTTATTGCTTAAAAGGTGGTATAATACAGGAGACAGAGAAAGAGCTTTCATTTACTGACTCGCTCTTCAAATGCCCCACCAGCCAGGGCTGGGCCAGGCTCAAGCCAGAAGCTCCAGACTTGATCTAGGGCTCTTGTGGCTCCAGGAGCCCAAGCACCGGGCTTGAGCTGCCTCTCTGGTGCGTTGTCAGGAAGCTGGACCGGAAACCAACAAGTTTATACACTGAGGTGAGTCAGAGAGAGACTGAAGGAAGCAGGTGTCGAGCTAATGGCGATAAAGCTGAAGGCAGGGCCGGCGGGTGCTGGTCCTGTGCAGGGCATCGGCTATGGACACAGGCTGGACTAGGAAACAGCGGCTGCGGAAGGGGCTGACCTACCAAGAGGAGACGCTGGGAATAAAGTGTAGTCCCAGAGTGCAAATGGGAATGTAGTCAAGTTCATCAAAAAGGACCCATTTTATGGAGTACTTCAGGAGTTCCTGGAAAATGGCATTAAATGAGCTGGAGGCAGGTGCTCGCCTAGTAGGCATGATATGGGTTAACAGCCCCGGGCTCAGGGTCTGCACTGTGACGCCGTCGGTTAAGCGGCCTCTTACAAAGCTGGCATCCATGGCAGAGTACAGCCTGCTCCGGGCTCCGATTCCAGCTTCCTGCTAGCATGTGTGTACCCCAGGAGGCAACAATGATGGGTCACTTACCACCGAAGGGAGAGATCCAGGCTGGTCTCGTTTCTGGCTTTGGTGTCAGCTGGGGGCGCTATTGTACATGGAGAAGTGAAGCAGCAGCCAGACCAGAGCTCTGCTTTATAGGAAAAATACCTGCAGTTCCATGTATTTGTGTACAAGCTCTTGGAAGTCTCCATGTACTTCTTTATTACAGTATTACTATTTTGTGTTATTGGATCGCGGTCACTTATTGGAAGGTAGCAGCAGGCATCTGGGAGAACGGTGACCCTAACGCACAGCAAGAAAGGAGACGCAGCAGTTCCCTTAGTGGGCACACCAGGTGGGGTAGACGCTCTAGCAGTTGGTTTTTCTACTCGTGGGGTGTTTTTGAATGGGGTTGGGGGGAGGTCAGAGCAGTGAGCACATGACAGCACGGCAGAGCACATGTACCCAGGGGAGCTGGTATTGTGATTACCAACAATCACCAACTGAAAAGCTTCAGAACCCAGACTGGAATGGGGGCAAGAACGTCTATTTATAGTGAAGTTTATTTTCTGTTTTGAAGAGTTATTTTGAAAGAGTTATAGATCTGCTAGTCACAGGTCCTCTCCCTAGGCGGCTGCAACAGCCAGCCCTGGGCCAGACGGAAGCAGCCAGGAGCCCTGCTGGCACAAGTTCAAACACGTGGGCCATTTTCTGCTGCTCTTCCCAGGCCACCAGCAGGGAGGTGGACTGGATGTGAACTGGCACCCGTGTGGGATGCTGGGGGCAGAGGTGGCGGTGCTAACAGCCCCTGCAGCTTAGTATTGCTGAAACACTGTGGTCCTCTTCTCTTCATGTATCTGCAGTAAGACTCGCAGGCTGCAGGCCGACTCCCTGTACAGCAGCAGTGAGAAATGTACGCTAACAGCCCCGGGGGTTAAGGAGGTGAACCTGTGTGCCACACACCACCCCGCAGCCCTGCCTTTGGGGAACCAGCCCCCTGCACTTTGCTCAGTTCCACCAGGGCTGTCAGACGAGGGCCTCTGTGCCCTTGTGACACATCACTGCCTCACGGGCTTGGCAGCTCTTAGGAGACGCATATCAGCACTAGGCAGTCTTCCTGTGACACCCTGAGGGTTGGCACTCCTCCTCCTCCAACTGCACTCCCACCCCAACGTCACCAGGGTAAGCCAGTCCGCCCTGAAAGGCAGTCAGCACTCCACTTCTGCGCTGACACATCACGGCGTGGAGCTGCCCACATCCCATGGAAGAACACCAGTGCCAGCCCAGTTCAGCTCCCTCCTAACGTGTCTGGGGAGGCAGCACAGGCTGGCCCAAGGATTCAGGCCCTGCAACCACATGAGACTCCTCGATGGAGTTCAGGCTCCTGGCTCTAGCTCCACTCTCGGCAGCTGTGGACATTCGGGGAGCGAACCAACAGAGGGAAGAGCTCTAACTGCTATTCAAATAAAGACATCTTCAAAAAGACACACTAAGATATAGCCATGACTAAACATTTAATGTCTGTACGCGTACTGAACCCTTACAGTCTCTACAATCCATGTGAAACTGGCACAAACTGGCAGGCCCCAAGACACCACTGCTCTTCCTCCCAGCAGGGCAGGACCATCAGGCCGTGGTTCTCCTGCAGGTCTTCCACAGGACACCTGGCCTCCCTGCTCGCGGCAAGGGCCCCAGCTCTACAGCGCTCCCGAGGGCTTCTGCTCCTCCGCGGCCTGGCGCCGCAGGCTGCGCAGCTGGAAATAACGGTAGGCCCGGACACTGCACAGGTAGCCCCCGTAGGCGGTGAGGAGCATCATGGAGGCAGAGAAGGTCTTGTAGCCAATGTCAGCTAGCTGTTTGGCGGTCGGCATGTCCGTCCCTGTAAAGACAGACCGGCTTTAGGACAGAGGAGGAGAAGGGCCTGGTGCAGTGACCTAGTGGCTAAAATCCTCGCCTTGAGCATGCCGGGGTCCCATATGGGTGCCGGTTTGTATCCCGGCAGCTCCACTTCCCATCCAGCTCCCTGCTTGTGGCCTGGGAAGGCAGTTGAGGGGCCAAAGCCTTGGGACCCTGCACCCACATGGGAGACCCAGAGGCAGCTCCTGGCCTCGTATTGGCTCAGTTTTGGGCATTGCGGTCACTTGGGGAGTGGATCAACAGATGGAAATCTCTCCTCTCTGTATATCTGATTTTGCAATAAAAAATTAATAAAAAAAAAAAAAGTGAAAAATTTGGCAGTAGCTCAGAATTAAGCAGTTGAGGGGGTGGCAGGTAGGAGATCTGCTTTGAGAGAGGCCCCAGGGCAGAAGGCTGTCAGGCCAGGCCAGGATCCTGCGGGGAGATGCCACGCTGAGCTCAGGCAGGCCTCTCTGAATATTCCCAGGGCAAGTGACATCAGAATTGGGTGAGATGAGAAGAAAACCCACAGACACAGGTGAGAACAGCTGTAATCGGGCAATACGTGCTATGACATGACTCCACACCGTGTGTGGCACGAGGAGAGCCGACACATGCAGCCGATGGAGACTTCTGGCCTCCCTGCACACGTTCTTTGCCCCCTCATCCTCCTTGCCCCGGCCCTCTCCTGTGAGGGGCTGCAGGCAGTCACCAGGCAGCGAAGACACGGGACAGCGCAGCAGCTAGCAGGTGGAATTCTGGTACCAAGATTCTCACTGCCTACTCTGGCCTGACCCTTCCATTTCAAATTAGTGAAAAATTCTTCAGCACCCTGAACCAAGGCAGGTGCGCAGATCACCGTGGAAGCAGAACAGGATTAATCAACTGGACGGCGTAAGAATGGGCAAAAACTGAGATGGGCGTGTGACCCGGCAAGTAAGATGCCTGCATCCCCTCGCAGGGTTAGGGCTCCTGCCCCCTCGCAATGCCCCTGACCGAGCTGCCCCCCACCCCCGGCTGCGGCTGGGCACAGGGCGCTGATCCCGAGACAGCAGCAGACTCTCCCGCTCTAACTGAAGTAACAGACAAAGCTGAAAATCATCTGTGCGTTAGGAAGCCCTGTGGCCTGGGACAGTGCTGATCGGCAGCGGCCACCTGTGTGGGGCGGGGCGACGGCAGGGCCGGTAAGGCTCAGGAGGCTCAGTACAACACTGACCTAAGGCACACCTGCACCGCTGCTAGGCGGCAGACGGAACAAGCGCCTTCCACACGCAGGACAAGACCAGAGAGAGCCCAGGGGAGCAGAAGCTTGCACAATCGGGCAGGACGTTCCAGAAACACCTGCAGGGGGGACTGGCGGCTTTTCATTTAGTTAGAATACTCCTTTTCCTGGTTGAAAAATCACTGCTGGGTCTAGTTCCTGATCTCGCTATCTTTGCAAGCCAGAGCAGAGGTTGGACCCACTCACGTACAGTGTCACCCAGCCCGGTCAGTGGGAAGGGACAGGCGCTCCTGAGCCCAGGGTGACCCAGAGCATCCAGCCAGGGCCCCTCTCAGGCTGCGTGTCCCGCACTTCCCCACCCATGACCCTGCAGGAGAAAGCTCTCAGCTCCCCCACTGAGCCATGTGCGGGATTAGGTTAGGAGGGTTAGGGGATGAGAGCAACAGGCGAGCAAGACCAAGGCGGCCCGGATTTCGTCTTGTTCATCCACAGTCAGGACCTGAGTGTATTTTCACGGGGTTAGGAGCCGGTGGCTGCAAACAGAGGGCAGAACAAGCGACAGGCCCAAACGGAGGACAGCCCAGGAAAAGATGGAATCAGAACCCAGGTGGGAAAAGAAACTCGTGAGTTTAGCACAGGACTGTCCACATCTGGACACTCCCGTTTCCTCAACACAGCCACTGTGCTACGACCCGACAGGCCTGGGCTGCACTGCCAGGTGTCAGGAAAACAGGTGCATGGGAAGAATCCTGACCGAGACCGGGAAGCGGCCCGCTCGCTGCAAAGCCAGCTCGGACCCGGCACCAAGACAGGCCGGAGCCCAGAGGCGCGACGAGGAGGGCGGAGCCGCCCGGCCAAGAGGAGCCGGCCCGGTGACCGGGCGGGCAGCAGCCGAGGAGGCACCGGGCGGGCCCGCGCGCGGCCGGGGAGGACACGGGGAGGACGGCACGAGGAGCCCGCGCGTGGCCGGGGAGGACGGCACGGGGGCCCGCGCGTGGCCGGGGAGGACTAGGGGAGGACACGGGGAGGACGGCACGGGGGGCCCGCGTGCGGCCGGGGAGGACGGCATCGGGGAGGACACGGGGAAGACGGCACGGGGGAGCCCGTGCGTGGCCGGGGAGGACCGCACCGGGGAGGGCACGGGGACCCCTGCGGACCTCGCGGCGGCGTACCTGCAAGTGGCGACCTTCTCGCGCGCAGCCCGCGTCCCGCCGCCCCGGAACCGGACAGAGACGGCAGCCCTCGGCCAACCCGGAACGCCGACCCGCCCACCTGGCCGAGGCGGACGCTCGGAGCCCACGCCGCGCACAGCTCATCTCCGCCCGCTGAGGCGGGAGCCCGCGGCCCCGCCAATGAGCAGCCGACTTCCGGGCCGGGCTTCCTCTCCAAGGGGCCCGTGGAGCTCTGGGAGTTGTAGTTCCGCGGCCACGATAGCGGCTGGAGCGACGAAAACGGCTCGGCCAACCAGCAGCCCGCGGGTTGGTGACGTCTGCGATCGCTAGGTAGATTCTCGGGTCTGGAGCCAGAGTGCGCGCCCCTGGCAGCGGCCTTTTCCCGGGTGGGCAGCGCTCAGGTAGGGGCCCGGCTGCCACCAAGTGAACGTGAGAGGTGGATCTGCAACGTTTCTGTCCGCTCCAAGGCCCTAAAAACGTGCCCCTTTCCAGCCTGGGCACCCGCTTGGGGTACAGCTGGGCCCCGCCGCTGCCGAGGGCCAGGATTCCACATTTCCCATGGTGGGACTGCAAGCATCCATGCAGTGCTGTCCGCGGTGCACACACTGTGCCACGTATGAGGAGCTGCGTGTCCCTGTTCGCCACCCCCACCTCCTCCACTGACCCCGGCAGTCGAGTTTCTGGAAAAAACTTTATGCTTTATTGGGCAGACAAGCAAGCCTGATGGGACGGCGTTGTATTCCGTTAACTGTGGAGTGAACCCAGAAGTTAGATATATTTGAAGCTGCTACTAGGCCCCACCCAACGCTATGGGAGACAGCTCTGGATTCCCCCGCTGGGCCGGCCTGGGGTGACTCCCCCTTCTGGTAACCCCAGTATCCTAACCCCACAGCTTTGCCCTGTGGTGAATTCCCAAGGGCAAGGTTAACCTAGGGCTGGACAGAGCCACTGGGTGCCAGGTGCTGCCACCCTGGAAGCTGAGACCCTGCTGGACAGTGCCCGCACCTCTACCAGGCAGGCACTATTTATAGCCAGGGGCCTAGGCTGCTGACCTGTGACATTACCCCACTGCCACCCCCACCTGGGGCAGGGCCAGGGGCAAGCCTGCTTCTTTCCCTCCCAGACACTCCAGGATATTCTATCTAAGGGGCTAGGGTGGTGCTGGGCAAAGGGGAGGTGGCCCTGGAGCGTCAGAAGCCACGCACAGGGGGGGAGCCTGCCCACCCTGCCTGCCTCTGGCTCAGCCTTTGGATTCATTCCTCTGGGCCCCAGGGTGCTGCCGAGCTGCTGTGGGGCAGCTGAGAGAGGCGGCTGGGTCAGCAGATACCCCTGGGGAAACAGCAGGAGGGGCCAGCCGAGCCAGAGCTCCGAGGAGGGAGGGAGGAAGGGAGGGCGGCAGGGCTTGTCCAAAGGTCACCAGGAGGCTAGTGATCTGATCCTGCTGTGAAAAGGTGCAGCTCCGTCAGCAGATTGCGTTCTGCTCACCAAAGACCGAGCTGAGGGAGGGGGAGGGGAGGCTTGGCAAGGTCACGTGAGGCAGTGAGCAGCTGGCAAAGAACCAGGGACCAGGAAGTGTCCCCAGGGAGAATGGCAAGGCCCCAGTGCCAGCGTGGCAGTGCACGGGGTGCCAGGATGGCCTGGGGAGGGGAGATGGCCAGAGGTTTCCGAGGGCACAGATGTTGGCTGTTGCTACGAGAGGCTGTGAGGGTGTTGTTTGAGATCTTTGTATTTTGTCAACAATAAGATCCATTGATACTGTGTGGGGCCTCGCAGAAAGGACAGCCAAGGGGTCTCTGGGGCCTGTGGCAGCTGCCTGCCCCAGCCCCAGCCTTGACTTGTCTCTCTGATGGGTAAGAGTCATCTTTGGCCACTTGACTCGGCTTACGGGGTGGGATTCCTGGTCTTCACAAGGCAACGACCGGTGGTCCTTCGCCACACACACCACTAAAGCAGGGACAGGGAGCAAGGCACCTTCTGGAGAGGGGCAGGGTGACCCCGTTTCTGGCAAGATGTGGTGGCAGCAAGAAGCCACAGGTTGTCCCCAGGCTCCTGTCATCCGGGTGAGGGGCCTGGGAGGCTCTGCTCCCTGAGGAATCCACAAGGTCCTGTGACCCAGGAGCTGACCATCTGTCCGAGTGAAGCAGCCAGCCACCTGGTCTCCACGCTGGCCTGGCTCACATGTGTTCCGGGTGATTCTGCAGGCAGCGGATGAATTCTCCCACCGGCTGGCCCTCGTAGCATACCTTGTACACAGCTGTGAACAGGGGGAACCTAGAGTAGGGAGGAAAGGTCCCGCTTAGCTCCCTTGCCCAGGCGCCGCTCTGCCCCCACCCCGTGCCTTGCCCTCCCACCTGGCAGCGAGCATGCAGGCCCTCAATTCCCACCTGTGCAGCGTCTCAACTCCCCAGCCCTGGCTTTCAGGGTCAGGCTGTGAGCAGCCCTGCTCCTGTCCTACTCAACTTGCCTGCAGGATTCCTGCGCTTCAACGTTTTCTGTTTTGTTTTTTTTTTTTCCACTTGGGCCACCCTCTTAGCCTAAGCTTAGTGCCATCAACTATAAAACGGGGCCAATAAGACAGGGGAGAGAAGACTACTGCTCGTTAGCTCCAACTGTGTATTATAGGAGGGCTGCCTGCTGCCTTTACCAAGAGGCTGGACTCTGAGCAGCCACATCCAGTGCTGTCCGTGTCCAGGATTCTCCCCAGGCTTCAATCTCGGCCTAGGAATGCCCCACTGGGAGCAGAGCGCATCCTTCCCAGCACCTATGACTGGCCTGGCCCTGGGCAGTCCCTGCAGTCCCCAGGGTTTCTCTGACCTGCCCCTGAACTGTAGCCCCCAGAGCAGAGGATGAGAAGGGGAGGGGAGAGGCTCCTCAGAGGGGCCCAGCAACGTAGTGTCAAGCGCACTAGACCAGAAGGAGTTCCAAAGGCCAGAGCTGGCGGGTCACACTTCCCCGACAGCATGTGGGCTGGGGAGGGTGCAGGGCACTCACTTGTCCACCAAGCCCTTGTGCTGGAGGATGCTGTGCAGCTCCCGGGCTGTCTGGGGCCCCTGCAGCTTCTGCCCATTCAGCATCTCTTTCTCCAGCTGCTCAATGGACTGGAAGAGAACAGGATGAGTAAGTGTGAGGGGAAGAGGTGCGAGCTGGGGGCTCGGCTGGGGTGTGGGGACTGCTCACCACGACCTCACCCCTTGTGCTCCAGAGACAACGCTGAGTGCCCCTGCCTGAATCTCCACAGGGCCATCCCATCTTCTCCCTTCACCTCACACCTACCTTCCCAGTGCGGGCGAAGGCCTCGGCCACTTTGCGGTTCCGTCCCCCGTAGCAGGTGGTGATGAGGTCGGCAACGCCACAGCTCTCCAGGAAGGTGGCAGAGGATACGGAGCCGCTGCAGAAGAGCTTGGCAAAGGCGATCATCTCCATGAGCCCCAGCCGGATCACCGCCGCCTTGGTGTTGTCGCCAAAGCCCAGCCCATCGCAGAATCCGGCCCCAACAGCCACTATGTTCTTTGGGGAGTGGGGGATATGCGTGAGAAAGGTGATGTGAGCAAGGCGCTGCGTACAGGCTCTGAAGATGGTTTTATTCACCCCATCTCCCGCCACTACACCTGCGTTCCTAAGCCCTGCCCCTGAGTCCCCCGGAGTCTTTAACGCCACAGCTGACCTTCCCACTCAAGACTACTGTTGTCCAAAAGTGTGGGAATGCAGAGTTTTGGCTGGGTGTCTTACGTGTCTCATCTCCCCTTAGCCTGAGCAGCATCTTCCCCCCGGGCCACCCTGTGCAGCCAGAGAGGGGTGTGTCTCAGGGCGCTCTGGGTGAAAGGAAGGAGGGCCTAGTGGCTGCTCGTCTCAGTGGCCCTAGCCTTGCAGTTCTTGGTGGGGAAACAGCCCAAGTCTAGAGCAAAGACATCTTTGGGAAGCCCCCTCTGGCCCTTCTCCCCACCCCAGGGCTGCCCCTGGGCCCCTCTCACCTTTAAGGCCCCACAGATCTCTACCGTGTCCACCTCTTGGACCACTGTGATGCGGAAATTGGGCGTCTGCATCAGCTCTTTTAGGAGCTGTCCCTGAGCCAGGTCCTTGCAGCCTAAGGTAGGCAGAGGGCCGCATTGGAAGGGGGCCTCTGGCCAGATCCTCCCACAGCAACCCCCTGCAGGATCTGCAGCCCAATCCACTAGGAATGCCTCAACCCTGCTCAACACTTACACTTGGGTTCTCTCTGTCCTCCCTCAGCGGAAGGACACAGCTGAGTGGGGCTGGAGGGAAGGGGAACGTGAGCTGAGCCACGCGGCAGGTGCGCTCACCAATGGTGGTCTCGCAGAACTTCTCATCAGCGACCTCGCTGGCAATGTTGGCACCCATCAGCACGCTCATGGGGATGCCCAGGCGTTCCCCAATCACTTCTGAGATGAGCTTCAGTCCTTTGGGGCCCTCGTCCACGCCCTGGGCATAGGACAGAACTTGGGCCAGTGCCCTTTATGCCCAACCCAGGCCTTGCCATCCCAAATCCTGTCCCTCCCTACACCACTGTCCACCGGTGGCCCTTTCACATGGCTGCCCCATCCCTCCCAGCTGTGAGCGGGGAGGCAGCAGTGCTCCTTACCCCCATTTAGCTGAACTAAGCCCCCAGGTCCCCTCCACAGCCCCTCCAACTGCGTCCCCTCCTCCCACCATGCCTCCACAACTCCTGAAACCAGTCCTGCCTTCACTTCCCAACCACCAAGTCCCCCACTTTTCTGTACCTCCTCAAAGCCCAGGGGACCCCTGGCTGCCTCCCACCAGCCACCCTGAGCTGCAGCCTCCCCTAGCCACACAGAGGTGTCCCTGGCACCTTGATCAGAGAAATCCCAATGGTTTTGGCCTTCAGGTGACCTCTGAGCTGGTCACAGATCTTGCCAATAAACTGATGGGGCACCACAAAGATCAGGATGTCAGCATCTGCTGCAGCCTGGACCACATCTGGGACAGCCACCTGTGGAGTGACCAGGTACTCAGGGACCCAGGAAGGCCCCTAGGGAACCCCAATAAGGACAGCTAGGAGCATAAAAACAAGGCTGATGGAGAATGGGAATGATTTAGAACTGAATCTGGACAGATTGGACATGCTGTCCCCTACCCCTAGCTGTCCCTCCTCCGTTATAGCTGTACTGGACTCCAGAGGATTCGTGGTGGCCTCCTCCCAGCACCCTCCCAGCCTTGGCTGTGGGTCAGTGAGGAAGGCCAAAGGCAGCCTGGGCTGGGCAGGAGGAAGCCAAATAGGATTTCATCATGCTCCTTATGGGCCCTCTGGGCATGGGAGCCCCAGGTTTCCCACTCTCCCCCACTCTCCCTTTTGCAGGATTTGACCAAAGACCACAAGTCCAAGGATCAGCTTCCAAGCCCTTTAACAACCCAGTGAATGAGTAACAGGATTCAAGCCCGGGGCAGGGACCCCAAGTCTGAGAGTCTGAGAGCTAGCTTCTGGTTGCCACGGAGACTGACCCTTGTTCTGTTTCGGGAACAGGCACGTTCAGGCTCCCTCTGTCTCAGATGGTGTCCAGATCAGCCATCTGGGGGCCACGCATGAGGGTCGTGTCAGAGTACCCGTCTCTCCCGCCAGTGCAGCTGGCACCGGCTGGGTTGCTGGGCTGAAGTGCCCGATGAGCAGGCCCCAGCCCTCCCCGCTCCCATCCTCACGGGGGAGGGGCTTACCACGTTTGAAGGCAGCTTGTGCCCAGGCAGGTACTTGACATTCTCATGCTGCGTGTTGATGATCTCGGTCAGCTTTTTGCCCCCGATATCTTCCTCAAACACCCACATGGTCACCCGCGGGTCAAAGTGTGCCAGCTGGGCTGCATTGCTACCCACAATCTTGGCAATGGCTGAGCCCCTGGCAGGAGGAGCACAGCAAAGTGGAGGAGTGGTGGTGGTGGCGGTGGCAGTGGGCCAGAGGAAGGCAGCAGCGGGGGTTGAGGCACCGCTCCACCTCAGGGCCTTACAGCAGCCCAGTTCCTTCCTGCCTTCCTTGGCACCCCCACTCCCACAGCAATTGTGTCCCCAATGACTTGCCAGTGGAAAGGGTTTCCAGTCAACCTCACACTGCTCTGCACAAGGGGACCAGCCTTCTCATCTCCCATCCCCCAAACCCTAGCAGCTCTTGAGGGAGGGAGGGAGCACTCTGGAACCCCCTTCCTGTGGTAAACAGGTGCAGCTGCCCAGCCAATGCCCAACGGGGCCAGGACAGGCCTGTCCCAGGCGTGCTGGTATGAAGATCGACCATAGCAGGGCTCGACCAGGCATATCCTGAGAGCATATTCTAACCCCCTCTCTGCCTCCTGCCCGCCAGCCTTCCCCCTGGGCCCCTTGGCCTTGGGAGAAGCCACCCTCGCCCCTTTCCCCTGACAGCCGCTCACCAATTGCCGGAGCCTACAATGCAGACTTTCATGCCAGCCATGGTGCCGCTTCTCTGCCCAAGCCGGCTGGGTGCTGGCTGCAGCATTTAACCTCGCCACACGTGGGTGCAGCCAAGCCCCGCCCTCAGGATGGGTGGGGAGGCTGGCGCCCAGGGAGTGAGAGCCTGGCCAAGCCAGGGAAAGGGAAGAAAAGGGTAAAGACAGGTGGAGGACGGTTACCCTTGGGGTGCCAGCTGATGACACTTCCTCTCTGGGCTCCAGTGGGCTTCCCACCCGCCTCCCCGGCGGGCCTTTCCAGTCTGCCAAGCAGTCCAGATAAGAAGCAACTGCCCCTCCTCCTCCTCATAGTCTCCAGCCCTGAAGAAAACTGTATTTAGGTCCAGCAGCGATATGGGAGCGACTTCCCTCCAGGGATGCAGACTCCTGATGCCCTGCACACACCTCGACCCCTAGTGGGACCCCCGGAAGCTGCTTTGGCTTTCTCCTCCAGCAGCCCCATGTGCGCCCCCTGCAGGGCCACCTGAGAGGGAAGGGGCTACTGTGGAGACAGCCTAGGCTTTAGGAGCCAGAGAGAGAGCCATCTTGGTCACCCACAATAACTGGGGACTCACCTAGGGTCCCCTCCTCCCAGTATCTTCTAGGAAGGGAGGTAGAGGAGGGTCAGAGTTAACAGGGGGGCCCTTCCAATGCCAGCGGCCCACCATTCTCTTCTAACAGACCCAGGGCTGCGGAAGGATGGGCCAATGGCCAGAGCAAAGCTTGCAATCTTCCTCAGGCTGGCAGCTACTGAAAGGCAGGCCCGGGGGCAGGCTGTGTGTGTGAGTGCGTTCAAGGTTCAGGGTTCTCCACTGCCATAGCCACAGGCGTGACAAAGGGGAGGAATAGCTGACCTGGAGTGAAGTAAGACTCCCAGCCCTCCAGCTGTCTGTGCTCCTTGGCCTAGAGGGCAGACGCCACCACGCTCACATGCGCTGGCCTCCCAGACTGGCCATCGGCTCAGTGGGCGTTGCCACCCCCCCCCAACATGGCCTGCGACTGCCAAGAGTGATAACTAGGTTAGAGGGGAACTGGTGTGTAACCACTGGGTGAGAGGGTGTGGGCAGAGGTCAGGCTGGGAAGTAACGGTTTCCTGAGCCCCAGGGACTGCTGGGGAGAAGCCCACCCATCTGCTGTCCACCAGGGGAACATACACAAAGGTGGTAGTCTTCCTGAGGTTGTCCTATGCCTAGCTCACAGCCAGTCCCCACAGGCTGCTCCTGTACTGCACTGGCACTGAGATAGTCACTCATGCCAGGCTGCCAGCGGGAAGCTGATTATGGAGATGAGAAAGAATCCCTCTGTCCCTGGCACATGACAGGAACCCCCCCAAGAATGGACCTTTAAGTAACAATCAGCCTAACTGCCTCTACCTCTCATTTTGCCTCTGCAATCATTTTAGAAAGTGCAAAGAATGAAGCAGGTGCAGGGCCGGGGCCAGGCTGCGCAGGGAGCTGACAAGGACCACTAGGGCTCTTTTCCCAAAAGCAAACTCTACACTATTTGCTTGAGATTAGTAAATTAGCAGACACTCACAATGTGGAATTAGTCTTGTAAAAACAGACACCAGTTCACTGTCCTTGACATCAATTTTCTGCACTTCAAACTATTACCCCACATCACATACTCACTGGCCTTCCCCACCCCAGCCAGACGACTCCCATAGTTCAAGAGGAGACCAGTGGTCGTCTCCTTAGCAGGTCTGACTGTACAGATAGTACTGTGCTCTGGAAAGGGTGTAAACCCATCCCAGTTCTGAACCTCATCTAGAACACCACAGAGGAACCAAGCGGGAGGTGGGCCCAAGTGCAGCAGGACACCACGCAGCTGCACGCACCTCTGTCCCAGGGCGTGTCCTCCAGGCCTGGAAAGTGAGCAGGCTGGGAAAACAACAGTACCCATCTGCTGGTCCTGACGGAGATTCTGCTTGGGACCGTGAACGCGCAGCTCTCAGGACAACCCCTATCCCGACAGGAGTCCTGGGAGCTCCTCAAACCAATCCCAGCCAACAAGCAGCCAGGGAAGCTCGGGAGGTCCTGGAAGATGGCAGTGCCCACGGCCTGCTCTGACAGGGAACTGGAGGCAGCGAGGCCCAGTAATCCCAACCTCTGACTGCTTAGACCCCTGGGGCTGACAGTGCCACCTCTGCACTCTAACCCTGAGCTCCCTCGGGTGGCAGCATTTCCCACCACACGCCCAGCACCCAGCATCAGGCTGGCACACGGCTCCGGAGGCACGTCCCAAGTGCTGTAAGCAGTGCAGTACAGCTGATGTGGAAGCAGAGGGGAGCTAGGAGGAGACAGTTCCCTCAATAGGGAGGAGGACCCATCCTTCAGAAGATTCTTTTATTAAAACTGGGTGACATCGATAAGGGGACAGTACAAAAAAAAGTTTGGTCCATGAAAAAAACATCACAATTCAGTTAATAAAAACAGTTAATCTTCCCCAGGGACACGGGGCAGGAGTGCTGAGCGTCCTTCCCGTGGCCAGCCAGGGGCCAGGCCAGGGCTCAGCTGCCCCAAGGCTGTCCAGTGTCACCACAAGGAGAGCTTTCAGGAGAGGGACGACGACGGGAAGGGCGGGCAGGTACAGCTGTCCCCAGTGCAGAACGGGCAGGGACGAGGGGCTGGGACGTGCTCGCAGGAGCCTGAGGACGGGGTGGGGAAGCAGGGGCTTTGTCAGTTCTGTGGGTTTCAAGCCCGTGCTGAACGGAATCTCCCTCGGTGCCCAGCTGTCTCCCACCCTGCTGTGTTGAGTCTGCGAGCTTACTCGGGGCTGATACAACCTGGAAGAATCGGAGGTGCCCCTGGAGAGATGCAGCATCTCCAGTTCCCAGGGGCGCAATCACAAGGTCCTGGGGCTACCTGAGGGGTATGAAGCTTTGCGGGCAGGGGCTGGGGAGCCACACCCTGGGCGGCAGGGAGAGGAAGAGTCACAAACCCATCTTGGAGCTGTGCTCCAGCCCCAGGCGCTTTCACTCCTCAGTGCCCTACAAGTCACCAGTGGGTGCCAAGTGGACAGACAAGGGACAGGAAGACAGGGATGGCCTAGGGCTTTTACCCGTTTGTTTTCGGCCTGTTTCTCTATTGGGAGGAAGGGGGACAGGGTGGAATGAGTGAGTCACACCTCCAAGCTAGAGCAGGAAGGATAGCCCCTGCCAGCAATTACTGGCACCCCAGGCCCATGGGGCTCACAGGGAAAGGCAAGACCTCCAGCCAAATGCCCTGGGTTGGGGCAGACTGAAAGGTTTCCTTACAGTGTCAGCCAGAGTATGTGCGGGGTGAGGGGGGGGAAGCCACAGTTACAGAGCAAACCCCAATACTGACGTGCACCCTCCTTGGCAGCACTGAGGCGGCCGCCGGGCCAGAGCACTAGGCACTGTGCGGGCGCTCGGGGCACCCAAGGGCCAGGGCTCCTGTAGTGCTAGAGGGCAGGGGAAGGGAGAGTCTGCTCCAACCTGGGTGGGGAAAGAAGGAAAGTGGATTCTGTGGTCAGGACAGTCAGGTCAACGAGCTTATCGAGTGCCCTCAGGCCTGAGTCTGGGAGAGGGGGCTACAGCCCCGGACTCCAGGGTCTCTGCAGGGCAGGACCAGTGTATGCGGCTGGTCCCCTTGAAGACCACCTGGCCTTCAGCACGGTCTGTTCAGAGCACTGATTCTCACTACATGCTCTCTAACACTATCTAGAGGGCCAACACAGACCAGGGGAGGGGAGAGGCACATGGGACTTTCATGGGGGTGGGAAGAGACAGGGTGGCAGAAGAGGATGACAGGTGTCTCATGAGACACAAATGTGAGACCCCCTTCTTCTGGTATTGTTCTTGAACCAACAGCATCCCCTGGAAGGCCCCAAGCAAGACCAAGGCAGGTGCTGCGACGCAGGCAGCACAGGGCCCAAATAAAGACTGGGTGCAGCCACGTCAGGGCGTGGGAGAGACCCTATGTATTTCGGATTCCCAGGGCTTGCTCTAATTCTTGCCGCCGCTGCTGCACCTGAGGAGAAAGTAGCGAGGGAGTGCAGGATGAGACAATGGGAAGTTGGTCCCCAAAACCGCTGACCCCATCAGGAGCGCAGTTTCCGTGGCGCAGCTCAGGCACCCACCTTGGAGTAGAAGTAGCGGCACACGGCCTCTTGAGCCCAGGGCTGGAAGTAGAACTCGGCACGGCGCTCTTCCTCCGGGTTTCCCACCACGTCAGTCATGGTCTGGGGAGACGGAGAACACAGTGCAGACCTACTGTCTTCCTGCACACCCACTGGTGGCTCCCCTGAACCCCTCAAAAGCTGCCGAAATCCCACCTCCTCGGCACCTGTGAACAGGACCTCACCCTCTAACCGGGTCAGTGAAAAGGGTGGCCATCGGAGAACTCTTAATCCCACACAACAGCTAGCTTTATCCAGGAGGAAACAAGGGCGCAGAGACAGACACAGAGGGAAGACAGTAAAAGCACACCAAGAATGCTGGAAGCCGGGGTGGGCCTGGGTGTCAGACGTCCAGCTCCCACTAGTGGGTGACAAACTTCTGCTGCTGAAGCGGCCAGTTTGCAGCAGTCCCAGCAAACTACGACAGCCAAGTCACCGAGGCGTCCATGTCGGGGCACACTGGCATCCCGCACTGGGGCCTGCCCTAGCAAAGCAGCAGAGCCTAGTCCAAGTGCTTGGGCCCCTAGCACTCATGGGGATGAAGCTCCTGGCTCCGACCTGGCCAGCCCTGGCCGTGACAGCCATTTCAGAAGTTGATCAGTGGATGGAATATCTGTTTCTCTGCCTTTCAAGTACATGAATTAATGTTTAAGAACAAAGCACATCCGCCAGTGCCTCCTTCAGGGGCCTGTTCTGGCACCACTTGCCCTGGCTCCTTCATTCACCTTCCGTAACTGCAGTCCTGGCATGAATGAGAACGAGGCCACATTGCCCACGTGATGCACCCCTCTCAAACATCTTCAAGTTCCACACTTCCCAGGAAGCCTTCACCGGGGCATCTAGCCTCATCTGCTCTCGCCTCTCCTCTGAATTCCCTACCTCCTCGGTCCCAGCGACCTCTAACCACGTCTGCCACAGGTTACTAGTCTTTGATCACACTGGCTGGCCTCTGCAGACTTGAAAGCGGAGCTGAGGCCTGTGCTCTGGGTCCGAGAACCAGAACCCAGCGCCCACTTGGAACAGGCACTGGATCCGGTCAACAGACCTGAAACTCACTTCTGCTTCCCCAGGAACACACTGATGACAAAGGAGTCCCTGTCCCCCTCCGGCTGTGGGAAGGTCCCTCGGCTGCTTACCTTGAGGTCCCGGCACTGGGACTGCAGCCAGTCATTGATGAACCCCTGAGGGTCTCTGGCAAAGCTCAGCATGAATTCCCGCTGCGTCTTCAGCTGGTTGATGGTTTCTATCGTCTCATGGATCTGAAAATGAGGCAGAAGCTGTACCAGTTTCAAGCTAGGGAAACAGAACTGAACGACAATCAGGGCCTAACAGCTCCGGTACCATTGCCAGTTTCTGTCTTAGTTTCCGGACTATTCACACAAACATAAATGGGGCCAGACCTTCTGAGGTGTGGGCAGGGTGTAGGGTGGCCCAGCAGCCACCGGTCAGCTCTGCTCGCTCCTCATTTTTTTGTGACCACTGACAGGTGGACTCCCCACCCTCACCCTTGCCCATCTGCAGTCCGTTTTCCAAACTCCAACCAAACCAATCACTTCCTTGACATCTCAAGGCATCTTAAACTCAATGCTTCCAAAAGTAAATTCACACCCCTCTCCTGTTCCTAGCCCTGACAATCAGCACTATTAACCTGGAAGGCAGCGTAATGCCTCCTTGATCCTTCAGCCCACTCCCCACCTAAACAGTGGCCAGATCCCCTGATTCTCAGCCTGCCAGCCTGTCTCAACCTCACTCTGTGTGCCTTAAGTTGAAAGCCCCAACAGGCCTCATGTGGATACTGCACGAGCCTCACAGCATTCCAAATGCAAACAGCACCCACACCTCCACTAGGACATCTCCCCAGCAGACCCAAATTCACGTCTGGAAGTTCTCCTTGTACCCAAGCTCATGTCCAGGCTCCTGCTACCCTGCTGAGCCTCTTCCCCAAAGTGCCCCACCCCTGCACCCTGTACTATGTCTAGAGCACCAAGACTGGTGGGGGCTCGCTCTGCCTGTGGGGACCCCGGCACTGCCCTCCTGTCTCCCCTGTTGACAGGCTGGCTTGTGGAGCAGCTCCGTCCTCACTGTTCCTGTAACTTCAGTGGCAGGGACTCTGACTACGTTGGCAGAATCATAAAGGCAGCAGGACTGGGAGCAGGACTTGCCATTGCTATTCTTATACACCTGAGCAGTGTGTAAAGGTGTATTCTTATACGCCTTTACACACACGGCTTCAGTGAACCCATGGCAACCTCCTAAAACTGGTGTTTTGGTCTCTATTCCACAGATCAGAAACGACAGAGGCTTAATACGACGAAAAGGCATCACCAGAACCAGGACTCATTTGAGTAGCTTTGAAGAGCACCAACCACAGTGGCTTACGTGTCAGCTCTCAACACACGAGGAATCGCCAAAAAGATATTAGGAAATGCACGGGCTTCCAAAATTCTTCACATCAAAGTACATCCACCTCTGAATTCCATTTTTCATGAGCTTTCTGAAGCACCTTAGTACTCTGAATGAATACCAAGATGTAAGGGGGGGAGGCAGACGTCCCGAAGTGGCGGGGAACACCAGCTGGCCAGGGAGATCCCCTACCTTGTTGTCCAGAGTCGCTATCTCCTGCTGACTGGCAGTGGACAGCAGGAAAGAATTCATCTGTGTCTTCAAGGTATCATCCACCTCCACATCAATGTCGTAACAGGCTGTCTTTTTCTGATCATTTGGGTCGACACTGTGGAGGGAACCAAACGGCCGGGTACAGGGTTTGCCGCTGACACCTCACTGCACAGGCTCAAACAGCCCAAGAAGGAAAGGAAAGCAGGCTGACCCCAGAAGGGCCTGAGAACTCATGGGTGAGAACGAATGCCTTGCCCTTCACTGCAGCGGCGGCTTCACGGTGTACACGTGTGCCAAAAGTACACATCAAACAGGCACAACCTGCTATATACAAGTTACTCCTCAATGGGGTTGAAGATTTAAAAAGTCAGAGGTAGGAACAGGTATTTGGCATAGTGGCTAAGATATCACTTGGTAGGGTCAGCGTTATGGCACAGGGGGTTAAGATGCTACCTACAACACTGGCTCCCCTTATGAGTGCTGGTTCGAGTCCTGTCTGTTCTGCTTCTGATCCAGCTCCCTGGTAATGTGCCCGAGAAAGCAGAAGATGGTCCAAGTCCTTGGGTCCCGGTCATCCACATGGGAGCCCAAGACAGAGTTATGTGCTCTTGGCTTCAGCTTGGTCCAGCCCTGGTCATGGCAACCAGTGGGGAGTGAACCAGCAGATGGGGGATGATCTGTCTCTCTCTCTACCTCTCCCTCTCTGTGTAACTCTTGCATCTTGGGATGTATGTATCCCAACTCAGTAGTGCCTGTCTACCTTCCGATCTACTCTCTGACGTCCAGCCATCGCCAGCTTCCTGCTAACGCACATCCCGGGAAGCAGACAATGGTTCAAGTTCCCAGGTCCCTGCCATCCGCATGGGAGACCTGGACTGAGTTCCTGGCTCCTGGCCCCGGGCCCAGACACTGCAGGCATTTGGAGAGTGAACCAGCAGAAAGGAGACCATTCTCTCAGATTAAAGTAATAGTAACTAAAGAAAAGTCAATGGGAAGAATTCACAGTGGGAAAGATGGAAAGGTACCCAGGGGAAAGTCCTCTCCTCCCAAATGGCACTGCTATAATACCTTGTATATCTTTCTTGCCCCCTCCTCTTAAAAAATTATTTCTGTATTTACTTATTTAGAAAAAGAGAGAGACACAGACAGATCATCCATCTGCTAGCTCACTCCCCAGGTGGCTGCATTAGCCAGCACTAGTGGGCTGGGTTGAAGTCAGAAGCCAGGAGATATAGCTGGGTCTCCAACATACGCAGCAGGAGCCCAAACACTTGGCTGCTGTTCTTTCCGGGCCATTAGCAGGGAGCTGCCCCAGAAGTGGAGCAGCTGGGACATGAGCAGGTGCTCAAATGAAATGCCGTCAGGTGGCAGCATTACCCACTACACAATTCTGGTCCACCCCCCTTTAAATGAAAATTGACCCTCAAAATAATGTACACACACACACACCCTCCCCGCAAAGACCTAACCTTAAGCACAGGAATACAGAACAGATCAGCTAAAAGGACCCAATGTATAGGGTATAAAAACTACTTCTGGTGAGCGATGGTGCAGGCCCTAAGCAAAGGAAGGTCTTGATTGGACGGAAGCGAGGAAAGCAGGAGACACCGTCTCACTATTTTGCTTTGAGAAGCAAAATAGTTTTCTCCACGCCACACGTGCCTAGAAGTGCCTTGCTCTCCATCTCGGGAACGAAAAAGTACAGAGGGAGCAGAACTTGAGTCTCGCTCTGGAAGCCCCAGGCCCCAGGCCCCAGGGCCCGCCATCAGGCGACAAGCTGGCCAATGTGGGAAGGAGCTGCTCACTCCGCAGCTCCTGATAACAGGGCAGCAGGAAAAGACGTGTGTGAGCGCAACAGAGACAGAGCCCAGGGAAATGTGCCAGGGCACAGACATGAGCCACACATGACCAGACAGTGAGCACGCTTGCAGCATACACCATCTTTACTTCTAATGTCCAGTTATATTTAAGTAGTTTAATGTTACGGACCAGCTACGTCCAACAAGCTACTTGGAAAATGTGCGGTACGTTGACAACTGGTCCACGTGAGCTGGTCCGAGGCAGCTCCAGCATGCTGCTGCTGCCTGACACAGGCTTACCTGATGACGTGATTAATGATGATGGGTTCCGGTGGCATGAGCAACGCATGGAGCCGCTGAGGGATCTCCGAAAACTTCATGCGTTGAGACTCAAAGATCTGTGAGAGAGTGGAGAAGCAGCTACAAGTTGGCTTTGTTTTCTTTTGTTTTGTTTGGGGGGCAGAGGGGGAGATTCAGAGCTTGGAACTGCATCCAGGTCTCCCACACAGGCACAGGGATTCAAGCACTTGGGCCATCTTCTGCTGTTTGCCCAGGCATGTTACCAGAAAACTGTATCAGAAGTGGAGCAGCCAGGCCTCGAACCAGTCCTTCTCTGGGAAGGTTGCAGCAGCTTAATCCAATGCACCACAACACCGACCCTAAAGCTGACATTCTGACGTAACCAGGGAACTGGGAGCCCTTCCCTTACCTGTTGGAGGTACTTGTCACAGATGACAAACTCCCGCTCGTGAGGGTCCTGGAGCTTGTGTGTCTTAATATACTGCCATAGTGCTTGGATGATCACTGGACGAGTCTGGGTGTGGATGCCCAAGAGCCGAGCCAGGCGAGGATCCAATTTAAACTGGGGAGGCTGTGGGAGAGGAAAGAGCAGTAAGAACAAAGCTGGTGAGCTGGGCTCTGTGCACTGGGGAGGCACTGAGCTGTGCGCTCTGTGCACTGGGGGGACAGTGAGCTGGGCTCTGTGCAGTGGGGGGGCATTGAGCTGGGCTCTGCGCACCTGGTGGCCGGTGAGCTGCGCTGTGCACTGGGGGAGCAATGAGCTAGGGCTCTGTGCACTGTGGAGTGCTCATACACACACACACACAGGCTTGGCAGCATGCCCAAGTATCTAACAAACTACCATGCAGTGCTTTCTCTAGGGGAGGAGGGCAAGACCAGCATGGCAGAGTACAGCTCTGGCTCCACACTTCCTGTAGACGGAAGCCCTTCAGAGTCAGGTGTCCCAGGGTCGTGAGAGGCAGACTCCTTCCTGCCCCAGGGGGTACCTGATAGTCCAGCATCAGCAGAACCGTACATCGTACGTTCACATCGCCTGGCCGCTTCACCTGGAAGCCGTCCGTCTCCTGGGTGGTGGCGGTCCTGTGCCACTACAGAGGGGAAGATGTCAGGGGGTGCTCTCCCAGAGGAAGAGCTTCCGTCATGACCCAGTATTCCACCTGGACACTGAGGACACTGGAGAAGCGTGACAGTGGGAGGCATTTTTAAAACAGCATGTGGCTTTGGGATCGTCCTATCCGTCTGCGTAAAGTAGATTATACTTTCAATTTGGACTGTGTGGGGGCTTCCAAGGAAACCAGCCTGACTTCCCAGTGATACTTTTATCTACAAACTTGGCAATTCAAACGTGAACAGCAGCACCGCCCGGCTGTCGTCCAGCGTGTACCTGCTACATGCTGGGGCAGTCTCCCTGAATTCCCACACTCCCATATAACACATGCACAGACACACCTACTCAGATGAGACAGCGAGCACCTGGAAGAAGGAACTAACTGGCCCAGGTCGGTCAGTCACTCAGTCAGTCTGGGATCACTCTGGGTCTATGGTCCACATTCTTAGCCACTACGCTCTACTGCTATCAAAGTAGGTGTATTTACAAATCTCTACCGATGCTATGACTTACTTCCCTGATAAGGTGGTAAAGACCTTCTCATGTCTCTTAGTGGTGGAGGTTAAGGGCCTGCATCTACACTGGCAAAAAAAGGAGCACGTTAAGTTCACCTGGAGCACGGGCCTCTTGTTCTGCCTTTATCTCTAAACATACCACAGCCAACATGGTCTTCAGGACATGACACTGATGCGATCAGCCTTCAAGCAGGGACCCAACGAGAGTCTAAACTACCACAGTCACCCTATCAATCACGTTAGCTATGCCACTGCCACGAGGACAAGGCTAAGAATGGTGTGTAGACTCACTACGACTCACCATTCTTAACAAGCAAAATAAACACAAGGCGTGTGTGTACAAGAGGCCTTTCTTTAAAGAGGGACAGTAACATTAAAAAGGTGGGACAAGTGCTTCTGGGTCCAAACTAACACAGCTACTGCCCCCTGGAGGCCACTGTGCAAACTGCGCCAGCAGCCCTGGACCTGGCACCTCGCGCTCTCCTAGACATGACTGCCGGGCACCCAGGCCTACCAATCTTCCAGTTCACAGTCCCAAAGCCAAGAAGGCACAACTACTTACTTCTACCAGGTGGTTGTCTGGCCCATACAGATCTTTGTCCAGTTCGATCACCAAGGACTTAAAAAAGGAAGAAAACTTCCTCTTTTGTTTGGTGGCATCATACTTGGACAAGGCTGACTAGAGGAAAGAGAGGAAAAGTCAAGTTAGCAAAAGCCAGAAGAAAGCTCTCCAAGACAACGTCCGACCAGAAAGGAACCCAGGACGGCAACTGGAAAATAAGCTCAGGAATTTCTTCTGGGTCTCTTAGGAGACGGTGAGGTATTAAACCAGTCACGGGAACAAGAGCTTGCGAGGCGGCGGCCGGTAGGGTCACAGACGGGCAAGGGAGGCAAGCTGGCCAGACCCTTGCACGTGACACAGCGCGCCTCAACGGAGCGGGGACATGCACCCCAGGCAGCAGGTAGCCACACATTTAGAACGAGCCCACCAGCGGATGGACTGCAGGAGCAGGCGGCTCAGACACTGAGCCAATGCTCCTGCAAATGAGCTTGCCTGCGAGCAGCTAAAAATAGCCAGAGAGTGAAGGGGAATGAGAGAAAGGTGAACTTCCCCAAGGAGCTGCTGGAGTGGGAGGTTTGGGGGCTGCCAGCTCACGCTCCCCAAGAAGCAACAGAGTCTGTTAGAGAAATGGATCCCACTAAACCGTGGGGGGGGGGGCGGGGAGGGGAATGTCTGCAGTCGGGAAGAGAGAGAGGCCACAGCGATCCAAGGGCCTCGGGACTCAGAGGAGGCAGGGCTTCCAATGCTAAGCGCAAATCCATCGCATTCGGGGTGGTGGGGGGACAACTAACCCACACAGCTCAATATTCTGCAGACACTGCTAAACCCAATGGTCAGCTGCACCAGGAAGGTGAACCACACACAAATCAGATCCCCGGACAACGAGCGTCTCACTATGACACCAGCCAGCCGGACACAAAGGACCATTGTCTCAGTGCAGGGAACAGACCGTCCTCTCTCCATCGCTCCCGATGGGGCTGGCAGCCCCAGCCGGGCTTCCTGCTCATCCCCAGCAGCTCCCCCCCAGGACACCAACCACGGTGGGCCTTGAACTCACATCTTCCAGGAGCCGTCCTTCTACCCGGAGCTCCCAGGAAGCCACCGTCCCTTCCCCATCCTCGGCATCCGACTTAGCCGGATTGAAAGTGTTAGAAATGAAAATGCGCAGCTTCCGTTTTTGCTGAGAAAGGCAGAAACAGGATTGACAGGAGGAGCTTCAGTGCTGTGATGTTGAAGACGAAGGTCTCCCCAAACCCCAGTTACTCCTAGCAGACTGGCTGACTGTCCACCTATTCCCTCAGGTGCATGGACACAGACCCCACTCAGAAGGGGAATTCAGGTCATGGGCTCCGAGTACAAATGCCTACACTGGGATGCCAGGTGGACAAACTCATGCAAAGTGGCAGGCCTGGCAAGGCAGCGGAGCCGTTACAGGGTGTATTCCTGGTACGAGAGCCCTGACGGGCCCCTCCCCTCTGCTGTTCTGAAGCTCCTAATGTAATTCTCAGCGGGTAGGCGGAAGGGAGAGGTGTAATTTAAATGCCAAGGAAAGCTGTGCTGTGTCTCTGCCGAAGGCTCCCGTGCCCTCTCCCTTGGCGCTCTGCCTGGCGCTCTCCTCTGTTACCTTGATGGGACGTTTCAAGGCCTCTTGGATATCGAGCCGTTTCCTCATGATGGTCTGGTCCAGTTTCCGTTCGAAAGCCAAGAGGTCCATATAGGCCTGGGATTCCGGCACCAGTTCACGGATCTTGGGGAACAGGGAGATGCCATTGGGATCTGGAGCCATGCTCTGCTCTCCCCCCACCCCGCCCCACGCCTCCCCTGTAGACCCAGGGTCTGGACTCACTCTCTGAGGTAGAATTTTGTCAGCCATCTTCTTTTTCTTTGCACTGCTGGGAATAAAGACTGTTATCAGGTTGGACGAGAACTTGTCAGAACACGAAGATGAGCTGTCAGCACCTCCATGTCCGGGACAAGGGAGGGGATGGCAGAGCTTCTCCCCCACCAAACCGCCCCGGCCCGGCAATGCAGCACCCCCTTCTGCGTCCTCCCCGGGGTCTGCTTACTTATGGTTTCGGTTCTGCACCGCCTGCTGCTGGACTTGCTGGATCTGCTGAGGTGCAGGTCTCTTGCGGGACTGGTCCATCCCTGACTGGGCCAGGCCAGGTCGGACTGAAGGATTCCCCCCGTAGCCAGGGGGTCCCATGGAAGGTCCCTGAGGTGTCATTCGGCTGCCTGGCAGCATACCCGGTCTCTAGGGAGGGGAGAGGACCCAGAGATGTCATGGCTTCACACGAAGGAAGGGCAAGCGTGTGCGTGTGCATGTGAGTGTGTGGCGCTGAATTCTTTGAACGCAACCAGACTAGGGCGCTGAAGGACAATGGTGGGGGAGGGCACTGGGCATCTCGGGGCGTCCTTGTGTAACTCCACAGCAAAGCAGAGCCATTCCACTTACATTCTCCCCCATGTGTCCCCTGGACGGGGCACCCCATCCCAACTCCCCCAACCATCCATCCATCCATCCATCCATCTCTGCTGGCTCCTGATCTCCTTCCCGCTGCACCCACTGCACCCACCCACCGTGGTCCACTCCGCCTTGCCCAAGAGCAGGTGCGGACAGAGCCTGCTCTTCCTCCTGCTCCTCCTCCCCTAGCCCCCACACTCCCGCCAAGGCCAACCCACGCAGGGGTCCGCCCCCTCCCCTTCCCCAGGAGCAGGTGGGGATGCCTCCTCTCCCTCATCCTCCTTCCCCAGCCCACCCAGGGGGTCCACCCCACCCCGCGTGCCCCAGGAGCAGGTGGGGATGCCTCCTCTCTCTCATCCTCCTTCCCCGACCCACCCCCAGCCCACCCATGCAGGGGGTCTACTCTACCCCACTTTCCCCAGGAGCAGGTGGGAATGCCTCCTCTCCCTCATCCTCCTTCCCCAGCCCACCCAGGGGGTCCACCCCACCCCGTGTGCCCCAGGAGCAGGTGGGGATGCCTCTTTTCCCTCATCCTCCTTCCCCAGCCCACCCAGGGGGTCCACCCCACCCCGCCTTCCCCAGGAGCAGGGGGGATGCCTCCTCTCATCCTCCAGCCCCGGCCCATCCAGCCCGCCCAGGGGGTCCACTCTACCCCACTTTCCCCAGGAGCAGGTGGGGACACCTCCTGCTCCTCTCCCTCCCTCCTGCTCCTCTCCTCCTCTCCTCCCCCGGCCCCGGCCCTCCCAGGCCCCCGCTCGGCCCCGCCCCCGGCCCGCGCGCCCCTCCTCCTGCCCCGCTCACCGGATAGGCCGCTCCCGGCATCGGGGAGCGGTACAGCCCCTGGCCCGGCGCCGGGCCCATTCGCACGGGAGGTCCCGGCGTCCCACCCGGGCCCAGGGCAGCCGCCGCGCCGGCCCCGCCCGAAGCTCCGGCGCCGCCGCTCGGAGCCACAGACTGGAAACCCGCCCGGGCCGCCATCTTCCCCGGAGCCGCCGCGGCAGCCGCACAAAGAACCGGAACCGGAACTCCCCCCGCCCCGCGCGCGCCCCCCGCGCGCCCGCCCGCCGTCGGCCGCCCGTCTGCCTGCCTGCCGGGCGGGCACGGGCGGCTCGGGGCAGCGAGACTGAGGGATAGAGGGGGGCGGCTAGCGAGGGAAAAAAAAAAAGGCGTGCTGGCCACTCCCTCCCGCCTTCAGGGTCGGGCGGAGACCATAGAGAGCCGCGCGGCGGGATAGAGAGGCTGCGAGCGAGCGCCCCCAGGCCGCCGGGAGGACAGGACGCTGCAGGTTGTGGGGGGCGTACCACGGCCCAGCCCCGGGGCCAGCCAAAGTCGGCGCGGCTCTTAGAACTTTCCCAAGAACTGCCGCTGCGTTCCGTGTCCTCCCCGAGGAACCGAACAGGAGGACCATTATGCTCATTGTGCACATGGAAAAGCTGAACTCAGTGGAGAGAAGGACGGGGGCAGGTCAAGCAGCCGGTTAGCAGGAGGCCAGATCCTGGGCTCCAGGGCTTCTGACTCAGTCCAGAGGGAAGGGCCACACGGCAGCCCCTCAGCCGAGCCTCGATCCCACGTGCAGCCCCACCCACCTGCGCCCTGCCACCTCTCCAAGTAACCCATGTGTTGGGACTTGACCTTTCTCCCTGTCCCTGCCTGCTCCTGTGTGTCGTCAGCTTCCCCAGGGCTGGGGGGTCTCCCTGCTCCAGCCACCTCTTTCCCCTGGGTGTGTGTGTGGTCCTAAGGCATTTAGTGGGAACACTCAACACTTGGCAAATAAGAGAACAGCAACACTGAAGAGAAGACGGTTGAAACCCAGTTTATTAGACCAGAGGCATGCGTGGCCCGGCACCCTGCCAGCTGTTCCTCCGTCCAGCCCTGCCTCACACATCTGGGGGGAGGCCGGCTAGCTCAGGAGCTCCTGGGACCGTCCGGCTGCAGGGCAGTGCACAGGTCACCTGCCGGCGGGCTTGCCCTGGGATCCAGCTGGGCGGAGACGGCCTGGGGTGCTGACTTGGGGATAGTGCCTTGCACAGGCAGTTGGCAGGCCTCCGACCTCGCTGTGCCTCCTCAAGGGAGGGACAGACAGCAGAGTTTCAACTCCAGGTCTGCCTACTAGAAAACGCACGTGGTGGGCTTGGGTGTCGGGTGAGCAAAGGGGCTGGGCACCGAGGAAGAGAGAAGGCCCACTGCCCGAGGACCTCAGCTTCTGCCGCCCAGTTGCAAGCACCCCCCAGCTCGCTTCTGTCCCCAACCCTGTTGGCTGAGCATCCCAGGTGACTCTGTCTCCTGGGTGGGGCTGTCACTGGAACAACCCCTTGCCCCAGTCAGCCAGGCAAAGGGCATTGGCCTGGGGGTGGAGGGCAGCCTGCAGGGAGGGCAGGGGATGCCCGGGCTGGACAGCGGGGCAGGGGGTTCAGGATAGGAGGGAGCGGGGAGGCCAGAAAGAGGCAGAAGTTGTGGTTCACAGCTTCCTTTATGTGGCCACCGACAGTGCGAGGGTTACAATGCGCGTGTCGTTTCCTTGTGCTTTTCAGAGGAATGTGTGTACATAGTACAGACACCGGGGAGAGAGAGTCCAACTCTTTATACAGGCGAAGGCATTCAGAGACCAGGGAAGGGGCGGAGACACAGAAGGGGGTGGGCGGTGGGGGGAGGACGGGTGTCAGACAAGAGGGGATGGGGTCTAGAGACAGACAGGGCAGGGGGAAAGTATATACAGAGATATAGCAATATAGAGTCTGTATCATATAGAAATAGAAAATGCAGATGAAGTTGTTGAAGGAAGCCAATGACGTTGGGGTGGGGGTGGAGAGAAGACTTGGGGGAGTTCCATAAGAAAATTTATGGATGTAGCCCTCTGCGGGGGGAAGAGGGGGCTCCGGTAGAGGGGCGCAGTGAGATCAGGCACCAGCAGCCCTCTCCCTGGGCTGGGAGCTCACCAGCCAGGTCTGGTAGCGGATGGCTGAGGAGGGCTGCCAGGGGGAGGTGGGGGTGAGCGAGCCTGTGGCCTACAGCACCAGGGCCCCATCTCGTCCCCATCTCCACTCGTCTTCAGGGGACCCCTGCCCCACATGCACCCCGTAGAGATCTCTACACTTGTGTAAGGGAGTGGGAGTGAGTGTTTAGCTCCAGCTTGGAGACTTGGGTTCCGGGCAGTCACTGGGCCAAGAGGGCCACTTAAGGCTGGGGATATCCCGCCCCCGCGAGCCCTCCCCCTTAAGGTACATTCTCAGGTTTGGGGGGGGGGTCAAATCCCAGACCCCTGGGGGTGATCCTCTCCACCCTGCGGTGGAGGCTTTGGTGAGTGACGGCAGCAGAATGTAGGTGGACACTCAAGATGACAGACGGCCCGGACGGAGCATCAAGGCCGCAGCTGGGGAGGCAGCATGGAGCGGAGAGAGGCAGCCTGGGGCCCGGCCCCGTTCTCTGTCTTTAGGGGGCTTTGTTTGTCTTAGATTAGTTTTGTTAAAAGTAAAAAGAATGGGGTAGAGGCAGGAAGAGGACTCCTTCCTCACCACCACAGGAGGGAAGGGCTTGCCCAGGAGTGGGGGTGAGCCCCAGGCAGGCTTGGGGCCACCCCCTCTCCCCCGGAGGCTGGGGAGAAGGTCCCCCTTGCTCTCCTGGCCCTCCACATTGAGGCCTTTGGTGCAGCAGCCTGCGGGGCTCAGCAGGTGAAGTCCTCAAAGGTGCCTCTAGCCGGGTGGTGAGGTAGGATGTTGGCAGCGTAGGTCATCCCGGCAGGGTGGCCCCGGAGGCTCTCACACGGGTTCTGGGGAAAGGACACAGGACACAGGCCGGTTAGCGTAAGGGTTACCAGGACGGCGTCAGTCAAGGGCCTGGGGGACTGTGGGGGGCCGAGGGTGTCCCCAGCACACACGCTCCCTCACGTGTCTCTTGACGTCGTCCAGGCTGAGCGCCACGCCCTTGTCCGCGCTGCCCCTCTTGGCCTCCTTCTGACACTTGCCTCTGCGGCACAGCTTGTGTTTGATGACCTGGGGCAGGTGCGGGGCCGGGTGGCTACTGTGGAGCCCTGCCCCTTGAGGCCCCACCGCGGCGCCCCGTCCGGCCCTGCCCCTGCCTCCTGCTCACCTCGTAGGCGTAGTCGAAGAGCTCCAGCACGGTGAGGATGCTGGCCCCAATGAACAGCCCCATCTGGCCCCCAATGTCACCTGTGGAGAGGTCAGCGGGGTCAGGGCCCCTGGGGAGCGGCTGGATCCCCGTGGAATCCTGCTCTTGTTCTCTAACTCTTCTAAAACGAGCAGGTGTAATTCAGGGGAAAAAAAGAGAACCCTTTCCCGTTCATCCTCGCTTAAAGGAAGAGGGCGCCTCGCACCCAGCCCACGGGTTAGGGGAGAGGCCCTGGGGGTGGGGGAGCAGAGGTGGGCAATCCACTTGATTGAGCTGCCGGGGGCCCCAGCATTCCCCTGGCACGAGGAGGGGCCCATGCCTGCAGCAGCTCACCCAGGAGCCCGGCGATCTCATAGGCTTTCTTCTGCTCAATGGTCTCATAGTTGAGGACTTCAAAGAAAATGTCCAGCACCAAGATGTTCTCCCTGCATGGGGGTCAGTGGAGGGAATCCAGGTTCAGGTCACGGCTCTGCCCTGGCCAGCTGGACCACACTGACCCTTCAGCCGCCCCGGGCCCAGGTGTCCAGGATGCTGACTGAGGAGAGGCCCCAGACAGTGGTCTGAGCAAGGATTCCATGAGATGACGAATGTGACAGGTGAGGCAAGGAAGGAGGTTCCCATCACAGCAGTGGGGAGGAGGCCCGGGACAGGAGCCCGAGGAACTGCCTGTGCCTGGCCTTCCCCCGATGCCCACCTGCGTCTCAGCCCTTCCCTCATCTTCTTCCCACCCCTGCCCTGCACAGCCAGAACCCTTACCCTATGTACTGCTCAGACTTGTTGAATTTCTTGGCTAAGTACTTGGCCGAGGCCTTGCTGGGGATCTTGACCATGGACAGCTCCTTGCCGTAGCGGGTCAGGTTGCAGGGCATCTCACACACGCAGTACTCCTGGTCCTTCTCCACTAGGAAGTCTGCGGCCAGCCAGTGGGGGGGTGAGAGGTGCCAAGGGGCACCCTCCCAACATGCACGTCCTGGCCCTCGCCACAGGAACCCTGGGCTCCCTTCTCACTGTACCCACCCAGCGAGCTTCCTCAATCCTACATGGCATTCCCTCAGAGGGCTTGTGGTCAACCAGTTGAGGCACCCAGGAAACGGTGTGAAAACTCCACCCATGCAACCCCTTCTGTTCCTCTCCCAGGGGCCCTTCTGAAGATGCCATCCTCAGGCTTGAAGTCAGATGCAGGTGGGAGAGTGCAACCCAAGCTAGGAGTTACTCGAAGCTTCTGGAAGTTTGGTCTTGCAGCCCACTCCCCTCCTCCCACCCCCGCTGGGATGTTCCAGAACAGGGGTGCTCACCCAGAGCAGGGTCTGCACACTCCTTGTACTGCTCTGGGGTACAGTAGGGGGCATCTCCTGTGAGGGAGAAAGGACAGCAGAGCAAGCTGGAGATGAAAGGGGTCAGGCGATGCCGTGATGCCCAGGTGGGGGCAGGGAGGACTAGCCCACCTCGGTCTGCCCCACAGTCACCCACCCACACGGTGCAGCCCTTCCAGGCAGGAGATGAGGTCACAGAGACCTGGGGTGTGTAGGCTGGTGCGAGGAGGCATGGTGGAGTGCTGAGGGGCAGAGTGGACTAGGACCTGGGGGCAGGAGCTCAGAACTGCATACAGAGCCTGGGGGGGGGCCCACCTGGCATGTGCACCATGCGGCAGTTGCAGTTCTCCACCAGGTAGCGCGTCTCACAGTCAATGCGGCAGGCGGTGATGCTGTAGGAGTCGAAGAAATCCGAGTCCATGGTAACAGCTTTGCAGGTGCCCCAGGGTGGGGGCAGGTAGATGAGCTGCCGGGAGAGCCGGGGAGCTGGGGAAGCGTGGGGACTTCTCCCCGAAATCGCTCTGCTGGACTTTTCTGAGAGGACAGAGCTCAGGTTCCCCCCCCCGAACACCTGTTATGGGCAGCACTCCAACAGGCCCTAGCCCACCCCGTGTCACCCCCCTTCCCATGACTGCCACCTGCTGCTCCAGCCATCCCCCCCACCCCGGGCAGGACCAGCCCCCCCATGGCCGCTCACCCGCTGCTCCTGGCAGGCCACGAAGGTCTGGAAGCCTGGGGCCACGCCAAAGCCCAGCTGGTCAATGAAGGGGGGCTCATCTTGGCTATGGATCTGCACTTTGATGCCTGCCTCGAAGGACGTCTCGTCTACGGGAATGAGGGGTGCATGGGAGGGGAGGGGGCTTCTGACTCCCTAATCCCAGGGCACTCCCCCCCCCCCCGCTTTTCTGAGAGTGAGCACGGCGCACACTGCGGGAGGCGGGGTGTCCATGGCCATCCTAGCCCACCCTCGCCTCCCGGGTTGAGCGGCTTCAGGCAGCTGCAGCGGCCTCTGCATCCTAAACACCACTGCCCGCATCTGGCTTGTGCCGGTTATCCGGGCACTTCAAAAATTCTCGCTCACAGTCACTGTCAGGTGCTCTCTATTTCTCTCCTTTTCCCTTCTCCCCCGTCTCTCTCTGCCCAAGGCCCCCCGAGACCAGGCAGGCAGGCAGCCCAAGAAGAGAGAGATTATTTATAGAGTGAGTGGCGGCCGCTGATGGAAAAGGATGGCTGGTTACCTTGGAGAGTAACTGAGCCAGGAATGGGGAGGGGGAGGGGAGAGCCAGGGGATTGTCAGTGTCGAAGTCAGGTAGATGGCGAGGTGCTGGGTGGAAAGGGGGAGCCCAGGCCCTGCCCCAGGGGACCCCGAGCAGAGGCCACATACCGGTCTCGCCCCACACGGGCAGGTACTCATCCTGCTGGATGTCCAGCATGATCTCCAGCCCGTTGCCCGTGCCGCCCTTCATGGTCTTCAGCCGCGGCCGCCCATCCCGGCCCGAGTTGAAGGTGTAGCACTTTCCATACCGTGTGAAGACCTGCAGGGGCAGAGGGGAGAGCCTGAGCATCCTGTCGCACCCACTTTCCAGCCAGGGTGCTCCCAGCTTCAGGAATCTCAACACTTCCAGGGTGCAGGGTCCCTCCTTTTGGGGGTTTGCTGATTTGCTGTGGGCGGAGGGGGGAGGGCGGCATGGAGACTGCAGGGACATGCCCTGAGTGTCACAGCCCCTGGGATGGGCTTCTGCTTCTGCTTGGTTTTGACCAATGAGAGCTGTCAGCAAGGGGCCGGGAGGCAAGAGGTGGGAGACACAGGGGTGCTGGTCCTCCAGCATCCATGACTCTTTCGAAACCCTGGCTGTGTGTTTCAGGCATGTGGACCCTGTAGGGAGGGCTCCCATCACTGCTAGCCATCTCAGCCCCCTGGCCTCCTCAATGCTGCCCCCAGCCCTGACAACACTGCCCGTGGTAAGGTTCTTCCAACGAGGCCACCTGTGACGGTGCTTCCCCTGCTAGGACCTCTGACTGCCAGACGTGGGGCCTCCTCTCAGCCTGGAGGCCACAGCTGCCGGGAGAAGAGGAAGGCGATTCCTGCAAGCATTGTCCACAGCCTCCCCTAGTGTTCCTACTACTGCCGGATGCTGACAGCTTCCACAAAGCAACTCACAAGCTAAGAACCAACACAACTCAGAGAAGGAGCCGGTCTCCCCAAGCCACCCCAGAAAACATGGTGTGCCTCGTCCCATTTTGTGGGTGAGGCCCAGAGAGGAAGCAGAAAGAGGACTCTGAACGCTGCTGGGTCCTCAGCACCCACGCCACACTACACCAGGTGCCAGGGATGCCCGGCGGGGAAGGCGGCGTGGGAGCCCCAACCTTGCCCCAGCTCAGCAGGCCAGGCTGCAGCGCAGTGGGCTGTGCTGCCACCTGGTGGCTGGGGTTGAGAAGTGCCTGCTCTACTTTCACGTGGAAGAACCAGGGACCCCTTCGTTGTCCCACCTTCCTTCCTCTACCACCAGGATTCCCTGAGCTCCAGCGGTGCAAACTTCCAGATTCCCAAATGTCTGTAGTCATCCAGTGAAGTGATGTCCACTGGAGCCTCCGCTGTTGGGAAGGCGGGTGGCTTTGAGATGGGGGAATGGGGCAGGACGACCTGGTGCCCAGGCCGGAGGGGCAGGAGCCGTCAGTAGGGACGGAATGGGAAGATGAACTGGGGAGAGGATGAGTACCAAAGCCCCCCAGCAGAGAAGACTTTAGCGCTCTAGAGGAGGGGACCCGGGGGCAGCCGACATTCCCAGGAAGGGCTTGCAGGGATGCTGGCAGGTCAAGCTGCAGTGGGCGGGAAGGGACATCATTTACAGGATACCTGTTACTCTTCCTTACACAGACAGACACACACACACACACACACACACACACACGCGCGCGCGCGCAAGAAGAATGGATGGGGGGCAGGGAGCCCGCAGCAGAGGCACAGCAAGACCATGCCAGGAGGCAAAGCAGGCCCTGCCATGGTGGTGGAGGGGCAGATGGGGGCTGTGCACACCGGCCTCTGTCTGCACGGCCAGAGACCAGGTGGCTCCAGCCCCAGCTTCAGCCCAGCGTGAGCATCAAATACAGCACGGGTCTCAGGGAGGCGTGGGGAAGCGCGACAGTCGCTCAGGGAAACACACCTAGGGCCTCAGGGAAGCAACTCACTTGCAACTGGGACACACTGGTTTCCACCGGAAAAGCAGTACCAGCAGGGCCCTTGGAATGTCGGTCCCAGCTACGGACTCCAGGCTTATGGGGTGAAATGAGGGACGGCGGCCACCAGCCACAGCCCCCGGGGACAGCGCCGTGGCAGATGGCGAGGCGCCCACTCACCGCTGAGAAGTTGTGGGGACCACAGGGCCCCCCTCGGTAGGAGCAATAGAGCAGCATGTCCTCCAGCCGGTGGCAGGAGCGGTTGTAGAAGCGATGCAGGTTAAAGGGCTCCCCCGAGAAGGCCTCAGGCCCGGGCGGAGCGAGGGGCACCCCGGGGTCATCACTCTCATCCAGCCCCAGCATGGGGGCCAGGTAGAGCAGGTCAGGGTAGCTGAGCTGAGACAGCCGCACGGCATTGGTGTTGCAGAAGGTGACGGCCGGGAAGGCCAGCTCCGTGGTGGCCACTTCGTCCAGCAGAGTCACGTGGGGGTAGCTGAGGTAATAGGCAATGCGGTCCCCTACCTGGCACAGGAAGGCACCCAGGGCCAGGACAAAGGCTACTGCCCACAGGACCTGCCTGGGTCCCGGACCCCCCTCCACAAAGACGTGGCTGGCGCCGTGGAGGGTGCAGCTATTGGCAAAAGCCACCAAGTCCAGGGGCGAATGCCCCTCTCTGCCTTCCGTCCTCGCTGCCTCCCTTTCCTGCTCTTCTTCCTCCTCTTCTGATTCTGAGCTGTCCCGCCGCTGCTGCCGCTGCTGCCGCTGCTGCTGCTTTGGGGGGGCACCCCAAATGTCGCTCAGGGTCCCTGGGGTCTCGTCACCAGAGGAAAAGGTCACAGAGCAGAAGATGTGTAGGGGCATCTTCTCTCCTGGGACTTCCCGGCAGGAGGAGGGAAGCGGCGATGCCTCGGGCACTCTGTCTGCTGGGGCTCCTTTCGCGTCCCTCCTGTCCCTCCTGTCCCTCCTGGCAGCCGGCAGGGGCGGGGCGGGGCGGGGCCAGGAGGCCGGCCCGCTCACCAGGCAGGACAGCGGTGATTGATTGACAAGCGGTGTGCAAGGACCACGGCAGCAGGGCAGGAGGCCCGGGCAGCCAGCTTCCTGCAGCAGCCCCTCTGTGTAGGACAGTGGAGCCCCGAGAGCAGCCTGGGGCTGGGGCTCTGCATCGAGCCTCCCCAGGTGGGGCGGCTTCGGTTCAGTGGCAGTGACCTCAGCCAGCCACAGTCCCCGCCCCCTCCTGCACACACAGACTCACTCCCTCTCCCCACCTCCACTCTGCACAGCCCTCTGAGTACCTACCCATCTTCATTCCAGGTCCCCTTGGGCCTCTCGCCTGCCCACTCCCCCACCTTTGCACCTTGCCCTTGACCCCTCATCCTGCACCCTCAGAATCCTCTCCCTGTTCTTTACTCCTTTGATCTGTTTCAGCCCCATCACTGTCCTGACTCCAATGTACACGCTCGTTGAACACTCCGATTTCCCAGCAGTCATTCCCGCGTCCCCGCCCAAGCTCCTCCAACGCATCCTACACCCCCACCCCCCGCACCTCCTCCCTGACTGCCCTTCCCCATTCAGAGCGCACTGAGGTCACTGCCCCTCCCCCATCCCCGTCTGTGGCTTGTGGGGCTGCCCAGGCTCCATTAGCAGAGATCTGTAATGACCACAGCCTCATTTCTGCTGGCGCCAGGCATTGGGGGGGGGGGGGGGCGGGGGGGGGGAAGGACTCCGGGCAGGTCATCACCCCCTCCTCCCTCCTGTCTTGCACCCCACCTCCACAGCTGGGAGCCTGAGGGACTGAGTGCCCCCTCCGTTCATGGTCCTGGGTCCCCTCCATTCGTGGCCCCTGGGTCTCTGAGGCTCCTCTGTGCGCTCTGACGACTCAAGGCCACTGATGAAGGAACTTGAGCCACCAACCAGCTCTCCAGGGCCGAGAAGGTGACCGAGGGGGGCGGGAGGAGATGGAGGCTCAGCACTTTAACCCTGAACCACCCACGGTCCCAGCAGGCTATGCCCACCTGCTTTCTCCCTCCCTCAACTGGTCCTGTGCATTGGCCTCGGTGCCCTTGGGGTGTGAGAAGATGGGAGGTGGGGTGCCAGGTTCTACTGACTGGTGGGAACCTTCGGCCTCTGCTTTACTGCCAGGGACACCGAGGCCCCAGCAGAAAAGGGTGCTAGTGACCCAGCCTAGTGCCACTCCAGCCGCCTGCTGCCACTGCCCTCAGACCAGCCTCTCCCTTCTGGCTTCAACAGTGGCCTCCCTTCAGTCCTGCTGACCGCTCTGTCCCTCCTCCAGGGCCCTACAACACTGGAAACAGCGATACTTCTGGCCGCCACCCTCTTCACCCCCTTGATGCTCCCCAACCACATGCGTTCCCCAGAGGAAGAGAGAATTCTAGAGAATTCCACCTCATGGTCCTAGACCCTCCAAAAGATCAGTGTCACCTCCACAGGCACAGTTGGAGCCCCCCTCCGCCATCCAGGGGACAGACCAGGAGACCCATAAGGGCTCTAAGGTAAGACATGAAGGCATGGGAAGCTTCCTTGGGGCTCCCCCCTCTCCTCCCCGCAGAGGGAAGGGTGCATGCACGCGGAGCCGCTTCCGAGAACAGTACTTGTGGTACAGCCTGGGAGCTCTTTCCCCTGGCTGGGCCCAAGGCACCTCCTCATCCCCAGGACAGGACTTTTGCCTACATCTGGCCCTGCCCAGGACTTTTCTTCAGCAGCCTGTGGCAGCAGAGTGGTCACCGGCTTTGTCTTGCTGAATCCCAGCCACCCCAACATCTGTGCAATGTTTCAGGCTTTTCCAGGGCCAGCCCCCTGGGATCCTTACCAACCCAATGCAGTAAGCTGCCATGAGTAACTTCACGCCCATTCAACTAGTAAGGAATGAGCCACAGCACTCCACGGTGTCCAAGGTCCGTGGAGCTTAGGACAACGACTGGGTCGCCCATCTCCTAAGATGACTAAATAACGGACGTGGATCCTGCTCCCTGAGCTCAGTGTCTTGTGAAGGAAGCAGCCATGCATTTTCAGCATCACCAAAGTAGGCACACGGGATGTGGTGCAGAGGATCAGGCCCTGCCTCTTGGGATTTGTCCTACACCATAATAGCTAGAATCAAATCCCAGCTCTGCTTCTCAGCCAGCTTCCTGCCAATGCACACCATGGAGGCCAACTGGCATGGCTCAAGCACCCTTGTGGGAGATCCTCCCTCCCAGATCATTTGGAGAGTCAGCCAGTGGATGGGAGAGCTTTTTCTGAAACTCACTTTTCAAACACATAGGAGTAAATAAATGATCTTTTTTTAAAAAAATTCAAAAAACACAAAAGCAGCAGTGGACCTGAGGCAGCATGGTGGTTC